TCTTCACATCACCGCCTCCTCCAAGTCAACCCACCCTTGCACTGACAACCAACTTGCCGCTTCACTTTCGGGTTCCACTCAACCAATGGCTTGTCTAGTGATGTCACTTGATGGTTTGTTTCCTCAGAGTATGGCCAGCCAATCCATCTCCATTTCTTCCTGCAGATTTGTTTGACAATCGGTTCCTGAATGGTTAGCTCATTGCCAAAGATCCTGTTTCTGATCTTTTCTGACCATCATAACTAAATTAACACTAATTACAAAACAACAATCTGACTCTATTTTTTATCGATGACTTCATCATCAAGTTCTACAGTTATATATACATAACAGTGTAATTATATGTATCAATTCAACTGAGTCTGTGATGGAGCGAGTTATATACGAACTGTTGCTTTAGGAACCTGATTCTCCGTGCTCACTCGGGAACATCTATTGGTGTGGCTAAGTAAAGGCTCGATATTAGGCCACCTGGTCCGAAGTGGCCACAAAGCCAGCATTGAAGAATTCTTCTCTATCATCTACTGGGGTACCAAATAAATTGCTGAAAACATCCTGGTACCAACCGAATCCTCCAAATAGCAAAGGCTATCGCGATTTGCCTTAAACAACCAGTGCTTCGTGTGTGCAGAAGGAGAAACGAATCCAGTCAGCCACTATTACTACCTTAGGCTTTAGTAGAGACGATAAACTCTTGAATTTATACTATTATTATTATCTTTCCTATTATTTCTGATATTCAACGTACGGTCACTGTAGCGCTGTCAAAATGTAATCCGTTGCAGTTATTCTTGATTCAATGTTATTTAAACAACATTAATGTTGATAATAACACTAATTCATTCATTAATATGCTTATATAACTGTAGAACCTGATGATGAAGTTATCGAGAAGAGTACTCTATTATACAACTGAATTCTGCTGGCGTAGACCGCAATGTGGTCATCATGTAGGGCAGCTTTCCATCCTGTGGTGCATTCAGAATTCTTGTTATTTGATTTTTAGATCCAATCGAACACAGGAAGCCCTACATGATCTAGGTTGCATACTTGTTGTTGACACTCACCAGTCAGCTAGGCGGCGTTTCTGCAACCATCTTGAAGGAACTACAGTCAAAGTGTAAAGATAGCTGTCTGTTAGCCAAAACTGTAGACAACAGTTTACGTCAGTGTTTCCATCCGGAATCGGGGTCATGAGAAAAAAAAACAATAAGAAAGCTTAACTAACGTTGGGGAACTCACCAACCAATCACAGCAGACTTAACGTGTGCAAACACGATGATTCGAAGATATATGGCTTAACTTTCTGAGAAACAGCCACAAGAAGATGACAGAATAACCTTTAGCAAGAAAACAACCAGTCAGAAGACGTTGCTTCTCTGCTAACAATAACGCTAATAATAATATACATAAAAATCAATAAATATCTCTTGATTTTCTCAATAAACGATCTGTTGCCTGAGCCTTGTCTTCTGTCGTTACAAAAGTCTAGAATACAGTTCCACAGGAGATGTTCAATCGTGAGCCTGAATGGTTCATTGGTGATAACATCTCTGACTGCAGCGCTCACTGCGTGACACGGGTTTTAATCTCAGAAGTGACATGAGTTCCTTTAAGGTGGTTTCAGATACGCCGCCTTGCCGAATGGTGAGTGTCATTAACAAGCATGAAACCTAGGTCAGATAGGGCTTCCTGTGGCCGATCGCCTCCGATTATCGAATATATATATATATATATATATATATATATATATATATAGAAGCATATATACCAATAGTATGTTAACAGTTAGCCAGACGACAAATACGAGTAAATATGAATTTGGTCCTTCCAAATGGGTCAGGAACTTTCACTGAGTGTCACCAGACAAGGATTTTTAACATTTAGTGGCAGACTTTTATCAACAGCTGCCTACTTCGCTAGCTGGCTGGCTGGCTGGCTCCATACTGAAGATCAAATGGTTAGTCAGCTGGTCAGAAAAAATTAACAACAAGAAACCCTGGTTGGCTGAAAACAAACCAACAGACAAGAGCCTACTGCCCGACAAATATGCAGGAGCAATATGGAGTTAGATGGATTGGGCATATGTTGAGAAGAGACCGTCGAATGTCATCATCGTCGTGCGCCAGGCCGTCATCACTCAAGTGGAATACGAAAGGTAAGCGACGAGTGGGTCGTCGGATGCGAAGATGACACGAAGTAGATCGTGTGTTTGGGTGAAAGAAATGAAAGATTATGGGCAATCGTGTGTGGCTAGCCACCTGAAGACGACAACAGAAAATAGAAGACATTGAAGATGGGTTGTAGAAGTCCTATGCTCCATTCGAAACTCAAAGGAATAATAATATTATAATAGTGTGGTTATGGACAGTCTTTATTTTTCCGTCCTCTCCTTTCTAGTACACACAGCTTGCAGATGTTTGAAGATTTACTTGAAATAATTTGATTGATGGTTACTAGAAGTGTAGAATCAGTCCAGGATGTACATTTGGTCCTATTTGTATGACTTGTTACCAGCCAGATGTAACTGCGATCCCGATTGATTCTTGGTGGATCCAGTCTATCGAAATCAACTTAAAAACAAGAAATAAAACCGATGTCAGCTGCAGAAGTGATGGATTTCAGGACCTAATTGGTCTAGTGGATACCACTTTGGCGTTTAGAGCGATGGACACTAGATTCGAGTCTCAGTGAGGAATGCTGGTAAATCCAGATGACGAGTACCAAAGAGGAAGATGTCACAAAATTGGTCACCTCAGTGTATCCTCCATCCATCTCCATTTTCTCCGACATACTTTTTTGGCGTCTAATGGATTCCACTGCCAGCCACTATCAAATTAATTACGTCACTTTATTCTTCAGAGCTAACAGAAGTGATAAAGAATCCTGGCCAAAAACAACAGACAACAATCAGCTTGCATAAATAGGAGGAACCTGAAAGAAACAACCTTCTTCACCCACCTACCCACCTAACTGGGAAGCATCGTTTCAACTACAGGCGAACAGAACTGACGAGGATATCAAAGGAGCGAGGATCGGAAAAGCAAGACAAGCTTTCATTACTCTCATCAAGTCTGTGTGGAGGTCAACAGTCCTACTCAGAATCAAAAATAAGATCCTGATTTTCAACTTCAATGTGAAGTCATTGATACCCATTATGCGTACTATAGACTTGGTGCGTCATGAAGAGCACATCAAACAAACTACAAACCTTAATCAATAGCTCAGTCTTCGTTCAATACTACTCAAGATGCGATGACCGGCTAGAAAAGATCAGAAACAGGATCTTTGGCAATGAGCTAACCATTCAGGAACCGATTGTCAAACAAATCTGCAGGAAGAAATGGAGATGGATTGGCTGGCCATACTCTGAGGAAACAAACCATCAAGTGACATCACTAGACAAGCCATTACTTGAGTGGAACCTGGCCGAAAGGGAAGTGGCGAGTTGGTCGTCAGTGCAAGGGTGGGTTGACTTGGAGGAGGCGGTGATGTGAAGAGGAGATGAAATCATGTGGGTAGACTTGGAGCGGGGTGAAAACGTTGGCAGAAAACCGAAGGCAATGGAGACGCGCAGCTGAAGCCTTATGTTCCTCTAGGAATTGAAGGAAATCATAATAATAATAATAATTCTTAAGATGTAGATAGAATAAAAGCCTTCGCTCTGTGAGCTGACATATCAACAAACCCTCAGTGTTTCTCTGAATCAGTGGCAGAATGTTCATGTCTAGGTTTGATTACTAGCTGATGCACTTCAAAACCTCGCTCATCAGCCTAATCGATATTAAGTCTGGAGAAAAGTCTAGGTTGGGCAATAAGTTAGAGACTCCATCCTGCAACATAAACAAGACCACTGCTAAGGGGACCATAAAGCTTGTAGTTTTATGTTCCGCTCTGTCTTTATGTCTATTATAGTCAAGAAAAAAGAATATACACAAACAGGTGGAGAGGATGAAACAACTTAAAGTAATTTTGTGGATAGTGACTAGCACAGAGATTCTGAGATGGGTATTTTTCCTACTTGGGACTCATAAACAGACTGACTGGTTTCAACGTAGAACTTTCCACAGATGCGCGACAGTCTGAGTTGCTGCCAATCTCCATTCATCATGTGCCACACAAAGCAAGAGAAGCGAGTAAGGAGAGATGATGAACGGAAATATGAGGCTAGAAGAATAGTAATATGGAATAACGATAGGATTTTATTGGATATAATAAAACACAAAGAGTAAATGCATCTGCACCAGCCGTTGAGCACGAGAATTTTGAGCCAGAGATATCACCAGTTATCTTCAGCCGTCAATGGTTCTTACTATCACTGTGAGGACCTCAGTCAGGTAGGCAGGCAAAGAGTCTATACCTGCCTAAGTAGCTGGCTGGCTGGCTGGCCGGCTGGCTAAAACTAACTGTTATGAATTTGATTGACTGATGAAGCCATATTTTGGTTCGCCCACCAAAGTGATCCATCCTATGTCAACTAACGTTTCCCATCGAGGAGGGCAATTGCTATGCATGCAAGCGTAACACAAGTCCTGGCCATCTCAGTTGACATAGCTTCACAGTCTCCTTTCCTTACCTAGAATTCGACAGATGGCTAACCTCAATCGAACGCAGGCACCTATGATCATAGACAGCTAGCTAGCCTTTTCATGTCCTCCACTTTCAATGGCTATATCTCATGGGACAGTGTGAACTGCTGAGCACGATGCGCATTTCGTTGTATTTGGGACTCGTTGGCGAACTGGACGTCAGCGATATCAGTGATGGTTTCTCCAACGAGGTGCGAGCCCAATACTAATAGTTTAAAAAGTCAAAGCGATACCCACTAAACCACTTAGGTCACAAGAACCACCACTTATGCCACAGGTCATATTAATTATTTAATTCAATCCAAATGACGAATCCCCAAATAGGACGAAACACGCGTTATATACGGTAAAAGTTTTAAGCAGATTACTTCATGTTTTTAAGATAAAATAATGATGAAAATAATAACTCACCTGTTTGTATCCTATATGAATAATCTGTTTGTCTTTCAACATTATAATGATGCACACGACCCATATGACATATCGATACTGCATAATTTCTATTTACAGACTCTCTCAACAGAAAGAGACCTTCACTGGCGCCATGTTTAAATAATAATTCTTCAGCTTGTTCACGTGTTATTTTACCGTAGAAGTATAGGGTGGTTTCAGGTGGGATAGCACCAGGTAGTAGGTTGAGTAAATGTGCTGGTGTTACCACGATATTTGTTGGATTGATAATGATATTACTACTGGCATTATTATTATTATTATCTGTAGTAGCGTTAGTAGGAGGTATTGAATTGGTATTTGTAGTAGTTGTAGTTGACGTAATATTGTTAGTAATACTCATAAAATCTTTCTTCATACAAAGAGGAGAAATAGTCACTTGAAATGGACTTGTATGCGCCATCTAGAAGGTAGAGTAAATAAAAAGTTAAATAACTAAGCATCCTATAAAATTCACTAAGAAGATCGAAAAAAGGCGCGAAAACACAAAAAAAATAATAATTGTGAAACTAGTAATGATAACATAAATAAGAGAGAATATAAGTCATCCACTGTTATACCATATAAGGAGGGGACATCTGAGACCCTACGAAATGGGATTGTTAAAAAAACAAGAATTAGGGTGGCATTCAAACTCACAAACTCACTCAGAGACAAGCTTTTCATGTGATTGTGTTCTCTGAGCTAACTGGGTAGTTCATTTGCGAAGCTTTCATCACCCTACTGGGTGACATCTTCAGCGGATACTTCAATCTGTTGAAGTGAACTTTTAGATTTCTCCACGAGTTTGTTAATCATCTCTCCTGGTGACCATTTTGGACGTGATTGGTTGTTTGTGTGTGTTTTCACACCTTCTAGGCAGCTATTTGTATTGGAACTGATTGTTTCCTTGACTTGAACTTCGACCCTTTGTGTGTGTGGGGTTTCTTTCTTATTGGTTGGTATATTTTGTCTATCTTGATGTGTCTATTGATTGATGATTCACTGGAATGCCAAGCTTCTGGAAATTCTCTAGTATTCTAGCACTTCAGTCAGTTCTATGTCAACCAAAAGACTCAACAGCGAAAGAAGATAAAGCCAACATCATCTACAAAATAAATTGTAACAACTGCGAAAAACACTACCCAGGCCAGAGTGGACACGCCTTCTCTTCGTCTTCGCATACATGAATATAAACTAGCTGTCAAAAGACGTGGCATCCACTTCCTCACTCATATCACTGGATATAGTCAACTGGGACAACCAGCGTTCAAATATTAGACAGAGGTATTTTTAGAAGACTGCCTGGTATTTCAGTGGATCATCAATCAATAGACACATCAAGATAGACAAAATATACCAACCAATAAGAAAGAAACCCCACACACACAAAGGGTCGAAGTTCAAGTCAAGGAAACAATCAGTTCCAATACAAGTAACCTAGAAGGTGTGAAGTGACACAAAAACAACCAATCACGTCCAAAGTGGTCACCAGGAGAGATGATTAATAAACTCGTGGAGAAATCTAAAAGTTCACTTCAACAGATTGAAGTATTCGCTGAAGATGTCGCCTAGTAGGGCAGGGTGATGAAAGCTTCGCAAATGAATTATCCAGCTAGCTCAGAGAACACAACCACATCAAAATCATTCACCTGAGAGCTACAAATCTTCTCCATCATATCTAAATCTTACGAGCGAGACAAGCTTTGTAGGCTAAAAGTCCCGCTGGATCCGATTAGACGAAATTTAATAATAATTTGTACAATACCTTGCTATGACTGTAAGTGGGGTCAACCGTATAGGTCAAACTAGCAAATCTGGAGTACTCAGATTGTCGGGACATAAGAATTTAGCTAAGGTAAGAATGGTTGATCCCGAGAAGATTAATAATTTGGAAAACAGCTCAGCGATTACACTGCATGCATCAACACACAACCACACAATAAGGCGGGGGGGGAGAGGGTTAAGTTCTAAGAAGTAATTTAAGTAGGTGGAGAGAGAGAGAGATTAACTACTGATTCCTGGTTCATTGAGTCCACGTGTGTGTGTGTAAAAATTGGGCAATGTGGTAGTCTGTAACTCCATATGTACCCGTATTACATTCAATGGTGAACTGGAGAGATTCAGACGAGTCCTGATGATGGATATCCTTCAATATTTATCAACAAAAACATTGGAATTGGTTACAGGATTTCGTCATGAGTTGACATTGGTTAGAGAACCATTAAAAAACCAGTTGGGAGTACTGGACAGCTGTTTCGTCCTAGTTTGGGACTCTTCAGCAGTACGTACGCACCAAAGTTCGAACCCGGGACCTCCTGCTTACAAGGCGAGCTCGTATACCATTAAGCCGCTGGGACTCGATCCAATGGCCAGCCCATGAATTCTAACTTCTGCTAATTTACGATATAGCGCAACCGATAGCCAATGTCTTCGGCGAGTATTTGTCCTCACCAATACTTGAAAAACATTGAAAGTAAAGCGAAAACCCGAAATAACCAATACGGTGCTGACAAAAGTGCTATTCACGAATGTTGAATTTAAAGGTGATACAGCGACTGAGATTCTGAAGAACCGCTGCTTATACAGATCATTGAAAAAAGCCTTCTTTTTGGCTGAGCTACGGATCAACTTTTAGCGTTGCTAAATGATCAATGGATGTGTGAAGGATAAACTGCCGCCAGTTTGGGCTACTTCAGTGTGTGTCTATTAATTTACCTTCTCATGTGGAGCTAGTTATATTGGCCTCTCTGAATATTATCGGGTATGGTTAGCGAAAGGACAATGCAAGATAGGTACTAGCTCAATTCTTGAGTACTTGATGAAGTCAAGCTACACAGATCCACCATAGTCTTCTTTCAAGATTATCTTCAAGGTGAGACCAAATGGTACAAAGAGAAGATTCAGGTTTTGGTATTCGTGTATGGCGGAGGCGTTGGCAATTCGTCAATTCCATATTAATTAGTTTATCAGATAGATTGCACACAGTGTGAAACAGTATGACTGTTTACTGGATGACGTTTTGAATGACTTTCGTAAACGGAAGCAAGATATAACAGTCATCATATTTTCAACTTTTGATGCATGGAGAATGAAATCACTTCTAAAATACCTAAGTCTACGAGCTCCAGTTCTGAATCAGAACAGTACCAGGGAATAGTCTTATGGACTTAGAATATGCAGATGATATAGTCCTGTTAGGGGAGGATGATGACAAAATGCAGAGTCTTCTGAACACCTTGAGCAGCAATCTTCGTGTGTTTGGCATGCGATTCCCCTCTGCAAAATGTAAGATGCTGCTACAGGACTGGACTACGTCAACCCCTAGCTTAGTGATAAGGAGTGAAGTGATAGAACATGTTGACCACTTCACCTATTTCGGAAGTTGTATCAGCCAGCACAAACGGACTCATTGGCGACGAAATCTCAGCACGGATCCAAAAGCTCGTGCTGCTCTCGCTGACTTACACCATCTCTGGCGTAGGCGTGACATCCGGCTATCAACAACCAAGGGACGTGTGTACCGCTCAGAAGTTCGCTCCGTCCTTCTCTATGGCTCTGAAACATGGCCAATACGAGTTGAAGACATGAAAAGGTTGACTGCTTTCGACCATAGATGTCTGCGATCTCTGTCTCACGTTAGGTGGTTTCACAAGGTAAGTAATGTTGACGTTAGGCGTAAAGTGTTGGGCAAACAGGGAAAATCAATCGACTGGGTCACGCGCTGCGTGTGCTTAACTATTGCCTCCCCCGACGGGTCTCACTATCTGATATAGGTGCAGGTTGGAAAATAATAATAATATTAACAATGATTAGTAATGTTTAAGGTAATTGGTAGCCCAAGATTTAAGCAGGCCGCCACGGTCATTAATAAGTGGTGGCCAAACAAAAACACATGGCATCAATCCATGAAATCCTTGACAGCTAAACTGAGTCAGGTAGGGAGATGCAGACTCCCGGGTTGGGGCCCTCGGGACTCTAGGAATCAATGGCTGGAGACAATAGGTGACACGGCTCAAGATCGTTGTCAATGGCCAGCTCAGATGTATTCAGTCTCTGTAATCTTTGATATTCCTTTCTACCATTACCCATTCTGTTTCACTCTTATACTTGTCAAACTCTATTGATTCTCTTCACTCATCTTCTTGTCTACGTTAGTGTGGTATTTGGAAAGTGGCAACTCAAACTGGTGCACTTCGGTGTCAAGTTCCATGTTGAATCCAGACAGACAGAGATAGAATCAGAACAGTAAGTCTACCAAAAGCATACTTAAAAGAAGAGATTCACAGAATTGTTAAAAGGTTCCATCATTTCAGAAGTGAAATCGAACAGTTCAAACATAAATTAAATGGAGATAGTTACCACCAACATGAATTATGAGGGTGGTGAGAGCAGCCTGCTAGCCAATTGGTTGACATTAATCTACGTCAATGTCTAGATCACTAATATGGGCCGTGAGAAAATATGAACAAGGCTGTTTCAACAACCAATCATAGCAAACTTAAACGTGGGCGAATATGATTCGCAGATAGATGGCTCCATTTTCCGAGGAACTCGAAAACAACCAGTCAGAAGACTGCGTTTGTCTACTTGACTAGGCTATAATAATGTATGTGAAATTTATATAAATACGTGTTGATTTCCATAATAAAACGATCTGTTGCCTGGCCCTTGTCTTCTGTTGTTACATGAGCATATAATACAGTCATCTAGCAATACCAAATCAGTAGCATTCAAAATGTCAAAAAAATAATAATAATATTTAAATCTAAAATTCCAATAAATGAGGTCATCTATATTCTCACTAGTGGTAGGTTAATTGATAGACAGGTGGGAAAACTGTGCAACTGTAACATTGAACCACATCGCCTAAATTATGATGGAGATATAAAAACGATAGTATCACTGTACTTAGAACACAGAACACAGAAGTCGATTTTTTGAATATACATCGACTCGAGGGTAGAGGCAATTCAATTCAATATTTATGAAATGGAAATTCAGGAATTGGAGCTTTCAATGTTAAACTGTAGAGTAAAAAAAGAAAAGAAGATGAATAGTGAAACATTAGTGTTTTTGCAGGAAAACCACACACACACACACATTCAAACCGATATTTTATTTGGACTTTCGAACATCCCATCCTATGTCAGTAAAAAATAAGATTGATGAAATATGTTAGAAACAGGGTACAAAAACGAAAGAGTAACAAGGAAAATCTAGGACAGGAAGTGGGGAAATATAAGAGAAGTTTTGAAAATGAACAATTACTCTGATAAATTAATCAGGAAGTATGTTGAAAAATGTAAAAATAAAATTATTAATAATAATGGCAGCGATTGTGATAAGAACAAAAATAACAATTTTTTATTTTTTTTATTTATTACATCTTGATTCCACACACTGTATTTTTGGTACAAGTAT